GAAAATCACATATGCCCTTTTGTTGGGTATCAGGCAGAACTTCAGGTTGTATTATGTGCTAGGTTTCAAAGAACACATCTGGTCACAATGCAACTGACAAATAAAGGACACAGTGTCTCAATAACATCCAATCAGGTGTTTGCATAGTGAAATGTCAATGAATCACACATCAATGTGTCACAGCAGGCTATATGCATCTGATCAAGTCTTCATCCTCGCAGAATTGTGGTGCTACTGCATGTTAATATTTCATATGTGTCTGGTTATACCTCTATAAACTCTGTGGATGTTACTTTTTAATATTGTAGCTATAAATTTCACTTTTTTTGTTTTATTTAAGACTTTGAGAGGGAGATGATCTACACTGGATTACTGATTGTATGAGGTATGTAGAAATGGAAGGGAACAAAATCTTTCATTTAAATTGACATTTTTCCTTTATTCATTTAGCAGGCACTTTTACATTAAAATGTACAGTATAAAATAAAAAGGTGTCTTACTCCACGTTCACTACAAATGGCAAAGTGTATTACTGTATGGGTATTCTGTACCCCAGTATACATCATTCAGACACTAACCTACTCTAATGATGTGTGGAATTTCATGAGTGCACTGGATATTCTCCACAATGCTCTGGGACAAAACTCCCAAAGTACTCCACTAAATTGTGAATATGGTGTGGCCTTAGACACGCCAGAACTCCCTGAGTACTCAACAGTGATACAGTGCTGCAAAACTAGTATCCAATAACTGACCAGAAGCAAGTGCAAGACAGTTGCAGTAGGAACATAGAGCTGTACCTAAGTACAATAATTGGCTTACACAGGACTGCTATACATAGTTCATTGCTCACCAAGTATGTTTCATTTTGCTTTTACTCCCTATATGCTCTCTTGTTCTTTGCATTATATACACATGTTAACTAAATGTAGACATTATATTTAAGGTCCAGGTTCAAACCTAAGCTTGGACTACTGTGTGGAGTTTCACATGTTCTCCCAGTGTCCACTTCAGTTTCCTCCAGGTTTTCCAGTTTCCTCAAACCTCCTAAAAACATTCAGGTAGGTAGTTTGGCTATTCTTAATTACCTCTAGTGTGAATACTTGTGTATGATGCCCTGCAATTGACTGGTTTCCCATCCATGTATTTTAGATATTTTAGTCCTACACCTATTGCTACAAATGTTTGTTTGTTTTTTTTAATTAACTCATGTAATCATCAAGACAAGAGCTGTAGGATATTTGTGATGCTTTTCTCAGTTGTCTATATTGCATTACCATTTTCAAAGAAAGGCTACTGACCTCTGCATCCAGTGGCACCGAATATAAAACATTACTCAGTCAACATTTTATCATATGCAGTCATAAGTGGCTGGCTTTGTGTAGTGCTTACAGTCACATTTATTATTTTGATTATGTATATAAATTAAGGCATTTTGATAAAGCACAAATGTCTATTTTAAATCAGATAATTATGATCAGACCTTTAATTAATCACACCATCAGATCATTAATTAATGTTTTTTGGATGATCTATTAATATTACAAACATTATTTTAGCAGGAAGGTCCAGCTATATTGAGGGCTTGATACACTGTCCTATGAATTCCAAAAAAAAACTTTTTAGTCTAGACCTCTTTGGGGTCTCCTCCTGTTAGGGGCCCTAGGTAGGGAGGCCCAATATTCCACCCACAGTGATACCTGTGTTCTGCAGCACTGATAAGAGCAGTCCTATGATAACTATATGCAGCCTTGTGTGACCTGATCACTTTGTATTATAACTTAAAATGAGCTCCGAGACTTATAGCATTCTCTATTCAATTCCAAATATGGAAAAGAGAATAAAAAAAAAATCTCATTTATAAAATCTGGGCTCATGCAGAAGGGATTTGCAAGGAGATATTGTGCTGAGCTATTCTCTGATTCAAAAACTCAGTAAGGTCGAACGGTAAGAAAGTAATTTCTTCAGTAATGCTTTGTAAATAAACAGAAAAGCCTGAGATGACCACTTCCTGGTGCTAAACACAGCAATGTTTATGGAATTGGTCATCTGTAATAAAGTGCAGTGTGATATGACAAATAACTCAAAATTCATGAAAATTTGGCCCCATAATGAAGGCCCGATGAGACAGTTGTCTCCATGATTTTTTCTCTACTGTCAAATTAAACTCAGGATGCATTTCAGCAAAAATATCACAGTTTCAATAACTCTCTTCTGACACACTCTCGTGGGAGCTTATAAAGGTAACACAGTATAAGGAAGATGTGAAAACCTTCAATAACAATGGACATAGAAGTTCTGTGAGAGAACAGACATTAATTGTCAGAACATTTGCACGATTCAGAGAGTAGTGTGGAGTTATTAACTCAGTGGGATATTTAAACCAGCTTCAATTATCACAGATGTTCCACTATGAGTGCAGTGTAATGCAGCTGCAATACTTTTTTATTTAATGTTTTACAACACTGTAAAAAAAATTGCTGAGGTTTTGTACAACAAAATAATGTCCTGAATGACAAATTTACAATAAATTGCTATAACACTGTGATGCATTCTGGGGTGTTTTAGTCTTTTGTAGCAAACTACTCACTCACTCTCTCACTTGCAGTAACTGCTCATCCTGGTCAGGGTTGCAGCGTATCCGGATCTTATCCTGGGAACACTGGGTGTGAAGTGGGATAAGACTCTGGATGGAATGCCACAGCAAAAAGAAAAGGAAATCGGATTTTCCTGAAAAATTATGTTGATTTTCAGCTACTTTTTGCCTCTTTTGCGTTGATGCACAGTCGGAAAGAGCTATACAAGTGATGGCTACAGAAAAATATAATTATATATGCTAGATCAACAACTTAAGTTTATACATTAGGTAAAATATGTTGTATGCAAATGCTTGCAGAAATTTTGATGCAAGATTAGTATAAATCGCAAGCTAATTTAACTTAGCATGAGCTGGTGAACTGTTCACGGAAATGTGATTCAGAATAGTATCTTTTGTTATGTTGTTCACTTGGTCAGTGTGATTTGATTCTTTTTGATATTATTTATGTATTATTTAGCTGCTTTTTATCATTTTCTTAAATGATCACTGAATAACCAAAGAGTAAATGTTAAGTACATTAGTACATTTTCCATTAATTATACATTATAAATCATGTATTATTCTTGCAGTAATTTACTGACAACTTAAGTTGCCAGTATAATACTGTAAATATGTTTGTAGTGTGTTTATAGCTGCAGTGTGACCTTTACCCAAGTCTTACAACATGTCCCTTATTTATTTTGACCTTATTTGATTAGACAGTAATTTAACCACTATTTCCATGCACTCATATACACACATTCACACTTACCGTCCATCCTGAGAATTGCGGCTGGTTAGTGTGACATTCAGTTGGACTGGCCCACTGAGGGACCGGCCATCTGGTTCAGTAACAGTGGCCTTTGGATGTCGCACAGGTGCCTGTCAGTAATCTGTCTGTGTGTATGTGCGTGCGTGTGTGTGTGTGTGCGTGTGCGTGTTAGACAGGGAGTGAGTTTAGAAAGGGCCATATGGTAATGTGACAGTGTGTTTGTGTGTGTATCACTGTGGTGCTGTCATTAATGAAGTGTGATGGATATTTCATATCCTCATGGTGTACCGATGATCACCCAGCTGTTAGCTGCTGAACACAAGGTCTCTTTGATCTTTACCCCTAAATACTTTCTCTCTCTCTCTCTCTCTCTCTTCTTTCTTTCTTTTTCTGTCCCCATACATACATACATACATACATACATACATACATACAATACTATACAATACAATACAACACAAGTATATACACACTCAGTTAGATGTCACAGCAAAAACCCAGCTTAAACAACTCCGTTTTTGACGTCACCATTCTTTTAGCGACCTTATTCTTCCACATAAACACAATTCACTGTTTCTATCAATAGAATGTGTTTTCCTTGCGTTTGCCTTTGTAAGTAAAATGCTTACACACCTGCAACTGTTTAAATAAAAAGCTCATTTGCAATCTGTGTAAGGTTCAATCCAATGAAGAGAAGTTCAATCGCAGCCCAACATTGTAGCTAAGAGATAAGTCCTAGTTACATTTTGCTGATGGCAGTCTTTTCGAACTGGCTTGTTCCTGAGCGAGGGCCATTGTGTCCAGGCCATTATGCTCCTTCACTAGATTCATCATATGCACAGAGTGGTGTGAGAGAGATCTAGAAAGGTGGGGGCAGTGTTAAAAGTCATCCTTAAAGCCAGACTATAAGATTAAGTTCAAAAAGACTGGAGATTGAACACAGCGGATGCATCTGCACTTCAGAACCTTTTCTAATGCATACAAGATGCAGTCTCCATTTAAGACCCGTTTAAATAAACATAAGTCTTAGAGCTCAGTTCAGGGAAAGAGAAAGGGGGAAAAAATTGAACCACACAAAAATATTGCACATAATCAAAAGTTTAAAAACTGCTGTTCTCGGCAAGTCTGCGCTGGTAACCTTCATACTTGTGACATTATTTACATAAAGGACCAAGGCTCCTGAGGATATCAATTATTGATGCTAGCATTAATGAATGATTTATTTAAGAATAAAGAAGTCAATCAGAAAGGACTGCCTCCCAGCATAACGTCAGGTGTGTATTATATATTTATATCTCAAGGGCAAGTTCTCTGTAATGTAGGAAACTTGTAACCATAAGATAGAAGTGAGCGCAGGATTTAATCAGATATTTCAGTGAAGCGCTGTCATTAAATTCATAGACAAAACATTACAAGTTGAATCCGAATAAGGTCAGCATACTGAGACGCAAACAACTAGGGACATGAATAAACACAAGAGGGCAAGCAATGTTTTCCCAAGGCCTGCAAAGATGTCTGGGCCACAGTAAGGGAAAGAAAGTGTTAATTTAGCCCAAGATTGTTATGTCTATAAAATCAGATGTGTTTTAAATTCACTCGTGTATATTAGTACTTTCCTTCAAATTAACCCTTTCAACTCCCAACATATTAGTTGAGGTGGCTCAGTGGTTATGGCTTTGAGTTACTGAGCTGAAGGTTGTGTGTTCAAATCCCAGCACCACCAAACTGCCATTAACTTTCAGCTCAGTTGTATGTTACGTGAACTGTAAGCTGTTTTTTTAACGTATCAGCCAAATGAGGAAATGTACTGGATTATGCGTTATTTTATACTATATAAGACATTACAATACTTTACTGTAGATATGTTTACAGTTGTTTACTTTGTAATTTTTACAGTAATTTATTGGCAACCCTGTTCCCTGTCAATTACTGTAAAATTTACAGTCATTTTTTACAGTGTAAATGCCTACTTGGATCTGACTCTTGCAAATATATAAACGTAAATGAAAAGGAGAAGCAACAATTCACACAGAAATATCAAGTTGTGTCTTTGGTACATTTCCATTACACTTATTAATGTCAAAATTATGGAAGCCATGCACCAAGAGTTGTGGAAAAAAAAAGTTATTAGATTAAATTATTAATTATTAATGTTATTAGACTTAATTATTAATTATTTTTACTTAATAACTTGTTATTTCAAGATAGTATGTCATTAATCTACCTTAATATTTATTATTTGCACTGAATGACTCATTATTTCAACATATTATCTCTTTATTTTAATATTTAAAGCACCCTACAACCTATCAATGAGTAATTTATTGAATAAAGCTTATGGCAAGAAAAATTCTTATTCTGTATGCTGTAGCTTATTGTGTTATTGTATAAATATGTATGTCAAATTCAAATGGTCAAAATGAAATCAAAAGATTAAGGGAAAACCAAATTGCTTGCTTTGATAAATTACAGGAAGATGGCAGAAGAGGTTAAAATCAACCTGATCTCATGCAGCTTTTGAAGGGATTCTAACCAGTGATGGTACTTTCTTTGGATTTCATAAAATTTAAATTACATTAAAAGCTAGGACTACTCATTATACCCTTTTCACTAACCTTATCCCTTTAGAGTCCCTGATTGTTATTCAGTTATTTATTTTAAAGCATAATGTTCAGTAAATGCTATGAATTATTCAGTAACTGAAGTGAAACTGATAGGAAAGATTTGTAGCTCAAGAGAAGGGAATGTAGATACGGCTCACCCAACGACATCTGGGAGTTTAATGGGTTGAACTTTTGATGTGCTAGATCATGTGAATTATTACAAATCTGCAGTCATGAGACAGTAAATAAGAAAGAAAAAACACAAAAAAAGTAGAAGACTGAGTAAGCATTATACTGTACATCGCTCTACCAGTTGACCATTCAGCAGTTACTCAAGATCCATCAGACAGATGCAACAGACAAGTATAATGTGCTCTTGTAAAAAATTAATAATAATAATAATAATAATAGTAGTAAAGTGGCTCACTTGTGTAGTTATTGTTTTGAGTAGAATTATTGTTTCTGGAAGTCCCTTTATTTTTGCTCCCAGCAGAACGATGCTCAGACCACTGTAAAACATAGCATGCACGTACATTGAATACTATTCATGAAAATGTAATGCCATATTAAATGCAAAAGTGTTTCATGAAAGGTGACTCTGATAGGCTTTTAAACCTGAAAATGCAGAGGCAGTTAGAGCAGTGTGTGTAAATCCTGCCGAACAGACTGACAGCCTCTGGCAACTTAATATAGCATGGAGGGATTTTGGGAAGAAAAAAAAAAGTAAACGATTTCAGCTTTGGATTTTTGGATGGTTTCATAAAGATTTCATTAGTGTCTCATGAACGTTTCTGTTCTCTCTGCATTATTCCACCCAACTTCAGTGGCACAGTTTCCAGTTCTGGCTCCTCTCTCATTTTCTGTGCCTAGGCCTAATCCTGTTCCACACTAATAAAGGCTGACAGGAAATGAATGGTAGTGTCACTATAATGACATTAGCAGAAACAGGATCTAGCCAGGTTTACTCCAACTGCTAATACAAAGCCACAAATGAGCTGCTAAGCAATCACGTTAGACTCAGAGATTAAAACAGAATGGGAGTGAAATAGCTTCTTTTGCAAATGGAGCAAACTGAAAATAAGAAAAAAAAATAACTTAGGATAATAGATAACTGAAGCTTAAATGCTTAGCATTAATATAGTATATACTTGCTGTAATGCATAAGGAATTCCAAAAATGAAAAAAATGCACATAGCCGATTGTGCTTATGTGTGTAAACCTGAGTGTGTGTTGTTTAATAATCACATTACCAGTTTAAAGAAGGCTATATCTTTAACTAATTCAAAGGGAGAAATCATTTGACTAGAGTCATATATGATAAATGGTAATCAATATAGACATGGATGAAAGCCTGATAATCTCTTTCTATACAATCCATACTGCAATGAGGAATGGATTGCCTCTTCCTGTGAGTATGTGATTATCACATACTGTACAATAAATCCCAGAAGGTTCTTGCACCAAATCGATCATGCAGCAGAATTAACTTTAATGCAAATTAGAGACATTAGAGAACAGAATGTTGGTCATGTAATTTCTTCCTTCATATGTGGTGTGGCTACATAGCAAAAATATGGAGATCATGTCAGGACTGCTATTGCTAAACACATATGCTCGGATAATCTGTGACTCATAGAATTATATCGGTTTTTAGAAATCAATAAGAACTTGAGCTGTTCTCTTATAAAGCAAAATATAAAGCAAAAAGCTTTTCTCTTATAAAGCCAAATAAAAAATATAATTTAATATTACTATGGCTGCACCATCTGATGTGATTAGAATTAGATCTATGTAGCTTCTTTATTGTAGTTATACCTGGAGGAAGTCATATATCCAAGCCACTAGGAATTATAATACATTTACTACTACTTCCTTTTACAGTGAATTTTATGGGCCTCAAGCAAACCCACAGCAGGGACTTATATACATATAGCATCATAAATCAATGTAATATGACACACTGCCAATCTAACAGTTCACATTTTACCTAAAACAGACAAGCTAATTATTCTTGTACAACACATCTATCTACCTGTGTAGATTAAAAAAAAAAAAAAACTGACATTACATCAGATACCCACATATATTTATACTCAGTCTCTAACTTTCTAACATCTGCAATGTGCTGTATATTTGCATAAATGAAACATTTACAGTCATTTACAGTATCCCGTCCCATCAGCCATGTCTTTCACAGAATATTTGCCTTGTGCCCCATTGACTTTCCTCAACCATTCCCTTGCTGCTACATGTATTCACAGATAGTGCAGCAGAACAGATGCATTGAATACGCTGCAGCCTGAGGTCACAGTGATATGAAGCAGCCAGTCTCTCCAGTCTGGGCTCCTCTGCACCAGCCAGGGGAACAGAGAGATCCCTTTGCCTGTGTCTATTCATCCACCTCCACTTTACCACCACTAAGTCCTGGCAGCCCCTTTTTACCCTCCCCAAAGAGTGCCATTGGCAGTGCACACTACCCTAGTGCCCCCCAATGGGCTGTAGTCTGTATGTTGGTTGAGGTTGGTACCAGGGTGATGCTCTCTTCAGGGACAAACTGTACTGATGTCTGCCAGTGTGCCATTTACAAACAAAATTCACACAAGCAAAAGCAAATGTGAAGAGATACTTTAACAATCACAAAACTTAGTAAACTTAAAAAGCTTGGTAATGACCTGCCTTCAGTCTTTTATTTGGTCATGAAAGAGTGAAAAGGTGTGTGTCACTGTTCCCTTTTTTTCAGCGTATGCACATTTCTTCTAATTTTTCCATATATAACAACTTGCTGTGAAACTAACCAAGAGGAAATGTAATGCTCCTAGACTTACTCACTTTCAAATTTGTAACAGAATGGAAGTACATTAGGCCAGACTACCCTACTCACTTCTGTTAGCAATTTAAAAATAAAAAAAAAAAAAGTCTGAAAATAAAAAAGTGTTCAACTACCATTTCGAGTCAAAACATTTTGATGCAACTTTATTTTATGGTAAGTATGGTACGTACTTAGTATTTAACAAGTCTGAGATGATTAATTTGTGTAATTTGTAAAAAAAAAAAAAAAAAACTTGTGGTACGTACTTTGTATACTTGATTTGAAAGTGCAAAGCAACGTCTAGATTTGTGAAGCAGTATTTGGTGCCTCAATACAATATTTATTCAGAATATAATAGGTATTATGGTAATATTTGCTGCACATCAAAAATATGCAAGTACATAGGCAATACTGTTGTATGTAATGCTCAAATGTCCACTATATTCACTCCATTTGTTCATTTGGCTTTTATGACACTTTTAACCAAAGTGGCTTACAACTGAGGGAGGATACAACTGAGTAGTTGAAGGTTGAGAGTCTTGCTCAAGGACCCAACCATGTAATGATTAAAAGTCCACTACATTCATTACATTTGCTCATTTGGCTAAAGCTTTTATCCAAAGTGATTTACAACTGAGGCAGGATTCAACTGAGCAGTTGAAGGTTAAGAATCTTGCTCAAGGACTCAACCATGGCAGCTTGGCAGTGTTTGGATTTGAACTCATATCCTTCTGACCTGTAGCTGAAAACCTTCAGCTTAAAAACTGCACCACCACTTCTCTCATGGATATGGAAGTGTAAAAGTAAGATAATAGTAGTAATACTACCAAACTGCTTTAATAAATACATCTGAACAAAGTACGTAAGGACTGGTTTCACATGTATAATAATGCTAATGTTATATAATTATTATTATATAATTTAATGATAATGTCATCCCCAAATATGTTACCATGAAACACTTGACATATATCTAGCATTTTTTTTTCCCCACATTAGTTACCATATACTGGTATTTCCAAATGGTAAAATATGCACCACTTATTACTTAAGAAGTACATATTTGAGAATTGTAGCCCCAAGTACTGCCAGGCACACCTAGTAGTTTTACATACATTACTATGTACACACTGTGGTGGACAATAAATTTCTATTCTATTCTATTCTATTCAATGTATGTAGTCCCCTTGCAAATTTTAAATTTTCCTACTAAATACAAGGCAATTATCATACTGTAGAATAAACTTCCACCATAATCTAATGTTTGATTAAGGAACATCCATGGCATAAGGAACATTGTAATAGAAACCC